TTCTCTTGTTATGATATTTGATATCATAGGATCCTTCTTTTTTGGATGCTTAGTTGTTTTGTGATATGATTCGTAGTTGTTTTTATATTGTCTTGTGTGGTTATAATTTGACAGTAAATGTTGGTTTGTTTTGTTGAGGCGGAAAGGCTTTTTCTTCAATTCTAATAGTTTTTTTTTTTTTGAAAAAAGTATATTTATATTTGATTTTTTATGCTTGAAAGGCTCATATTGGTTGAGCTACAATGTTTTCCAACAAAATATCAAAATTCTAGTGTTATTTTGAATATTTGTATTCATTATATCATGCATGAAATATGAATAATTGTGCAGGTAAATTATGAGCTTAAAATCTTTTCTGACTTTGGTTTTTGTTGCTTTGGAGGTTATACCTTTCCTTGTTATTTTTTGGACTTCTTTGGGTTGAGGTTTCTTTTGGCTCGTTTTTTAATTTGTTATTTGTTTTGCAGATGAGAAAGTAGCTGAATTTGATGCTTTTGTGGTTGATCGATATTTTGGATTGACGATGCTCAACTTTTGGAGTAGCTGATGTTCAAGTTGAAGGCTTGCTTTGCTCTTTAGGATTTTAGGTATTGTTTTTCTTTCCGAGATCATATGATCTTATAGTCTTTTTGTTGTTAAGTTTTTTTTTTCTATTTTTATTTTATATGCTCTTCTTGAGCGCATATTACGTCAATAGTCCGAACGTAGATGTACGTTCGGATTCCAATAGTCGTTGTGTTCTAGGAATGTCTCGTTGTGTTACAGAAATATTCCATCAGCGTTATTTGTAAAAATTGTAGTGTTATTCGAGTATTATGTGGTGTTATTCGATTACTTTGCGGTGTTATTGAAAAATTCCCCGGCATTACTTGATTTGGGGCTGTCTTACTCGGCATATTCCCCATGTTATTTCAATTTCCACTATGTTATTGGAATAACACAGTCTTAAATCAAGTAACGCGGGGAAATATTCTAACAACGCATCATTTTCCACAAATAACGCTAATAATGGAATATTCCTATAACACACCTAAATATTTCTATAACACATCGACTATTGCAATTCGAACATAACTTTACGTTCGAAATCCTGACGTAATATTTTTTCGTTCTTCTTAGATGATAGCTTTGACTTTCCCTCATTTACTTTATTTCTTTGATATAGATTTTTTTTTTTTTTTTGTATATGCAAGTCTTTATATATTATTTTTCCCCTGAATAAAATTAGCTGCGGTCATCAATTTATAAATAAAAATAAATAAATAATGACCTCGGCTGCCGACATGAATGGCAAGGAGCCAAGGAACCGCCGGATCAAAGGTCGACTTGCTGTCTCGCGGATCAGCACAAGGGTTCGTAAAGAGCTCTGATTTACTCCGCACGTTGTATTATGTATGGCTTTAAGCGAACATCACGAAAATTACATTACGCACGCGGTACAGCAAACACGAACTAAAAGTTTCGGTTTGTCATCATCTATCTTTTTCTTATTATTATTCCACCAAACGCAGCAATTTTTAATTCGTCGCGCTTTCTGACAACCAGAAAACGCCAAGGCAGAAATCGAACCAAACCGCAGGAGAAAAATCAAGAAGTAGTGGACCACACAACATGCCCATAAATACCTGCCTGCCCGTTGATCTGAACAACAAGAACGTAGTCTCCCCCGCCTCCCGACGGCTTGCTCATCCACAAAGCCTTATACCTGTCATTAACAACGGCAAGGCGTCCGCGATTGTCCAGCCTGACGAAGCAATGCTGTCCCTCACCCTTCGTCTTGCTGTCCCAAACCACTCCCACAGCCGCCTTTCTAAACTCCAAATTACAATCCCCTGTTATCTCAAAACTGTAGTCTCTGCTCTCCAGCTTCGAGTTCTCTTGCAGGACCTGCGTCGAGAACAACACGTTACGAACCAACGGTTTGTCATCCAGCTGAGCATCGACAGTGGCGGATGAAGAAGACAGCGCAGGGGTAGACCAGATCTGGGGTCCGAAGATGTTGACTTGACCATCGGGGCGAAGAACGGCGACATATTCGCCCTTCTTGTTTCCGCCGGGAGAAGACCATACTTGTTTGCCATTGCCGTTTTTGATGACGAGTTGGCCGTGGTCCGAGAGGGTGAGGGTGCACTTGGTGCCTGCGCCGGATGTGTCAGACTCGAAGCCAGCGGCCTTGTTGTAGAGCACGAGATTGCAGTCATTTTGCATGACAAAGGCGGCTTCGTTGTAGGAGAGCTGGGCATCATTGGGAAGGACGTCGCCGGTGGCGAGGATGTTGCCCTCGTTGGCGGAGGAAGGAGAGGGAAGGAGAATGAGAGAGACGACGGAGAGGAGAAGAGCAGTGGATAGCGCCATTGTCGCTTTGGGCTTGGATGAGATTAGGCTTGTTATTATATAGAAGAGAGAAGAGTGAGTTCCTTGAGAGTTGAATAATCAATGGAAAAACAGTTGGGGTTTAAACGGAGTAAAGTCACCGAAGTTGAACGTGCTCATTTGTCCTTATGTAGCTTGTGCATGTAATAGATGTTAAAAGGATTGTTAAACAATTGCTTATATAAGAAAATAGGTAGATTTGTTAAGGAGTTAAACTCAAGCAATAGAGCGTAAAATAGGAGAGAGAGAAAGCAGATAATGCAATACAAAAACAATTGATTAGTTCTTTACTGTAAGAATAATCCCTTATTTATAGGCATGAGGATATGAAGAACACAATTACATACTTGTTGATGCTTTATTTTAGGGGTTGCATTGTATTTTGAGTATTTTTATATTAAAATTTCTATTGCTCGACGACCCCATCGCTTGGCCAGTAGCGGTCACTGGACAAGGGTTAGACATGGATTGTTTGTCTAACCGCCATGAGTTGGGGGTTACCAATCGGCTTTATGATGGTTTTTGATGGTCTGGTCTTTGGCTCAATTGTCTTTAATTTGTCTGTCAAATTTTAATGACCTTTGGTCACGCGAACTTAGTTCTGTGGACTTGATTTCACCGATCAACTTCTATGGTTTGGTTGCTAATTGTTGATCCCTAAAAGAAAGACTTCAATCGATAGGATGAAACTAGGCTATCCGATAGAGGGAAATCACCTTAATCTGACAGGTAACTCACCTTTTGATAGAGATTCCTTCGAGATTCTCTTAGAGTGATGAGTCCTCGGCCTTCCATCAAAGAGGCTTGGTGTGTCATGTGAAATTGCTAATGATGTTGGATAAAAGTTGGATTGATGCATTCTCTCAGCTCAATAGCTCGATGGCTCTAGATCTTTGGCTCGGATGGCGTGCATGCAGTTTGCTTCGAATCTCTTGATGGGACTCTATTTTTTATTAATGATGTCCTATGACACTTAAGTGAAAGTTATTTTGGTCTTCACAACTGGACTCTCTTGGTCATTCCTTCAGTAATAAACCAAACCTATCAGAAAAATTTTCAATAAAGTAGATTTGTTAAGGAGTTAAACTCAAGCAATAGAGTGTAAAATAGGAGAGAGAGAAAGCACATAATGCAATAGAAAAACAATTGATTAGTTCTCTACTGTGAGAATAATCCCTTATTTATAGACATGAGGATATGAAGAACACAATTACATACTTGTTGATGCTTTATTTTAGGGGTTACATTGTATTTTGAGTATTTTTACATTAATATGTACATTGCTCGACGACTCCATCGCTCGGTCAATTGCGGTCATTGGACAAGGGTTTGACATGGATTGTTTGTTTGACCACAATGTGTTGGGAGTTACCAATCGGCTTTATGATGGTTTTTGATGGTCTGGTCTTTGGCTCAATTGTCTTTAATTTGTCTGTCAAATTTTAATGACCTTTGGTCACGCGAACTTAGTTCTGTGGACTTGATTTCACCGATCAACTTCTATGGTTTGGTTGCTAATTGTTGATCCCTAAAAGAAAGACTTCAATCGATAGGATGAAACTAGGCTATCCGATAGAGGGAAATCACCTTAATCTGACAGGTAACTCACCTTTTGATAGAGATTCCTTCGAGATTCTCTTAGAGTGATGAGTCCTCGGCCTTCCATCAAAGAGGCTTGGTGTGTCATGTGAAATTGCTAATGATGTTGGATAAAAGTTGGATTGATGCATTCTCTCAGCTCAATAGCTCGATGGCTCTAGATCTTTGGCTCGGATGGCGTGCATGCAGTTTGCTTCGAATCTCTTGATGGGACTCTATTTTTTATTAATGATGTCCTATGACACTTAAGTGAAAGTTATTTTGGTCTTCACCACTGGACTCTCTTGGTCATTCCTTCAGTAATAGACCAAACCTGTCAGAAAAATTTTCAATAAAAAAAAGAATATTTATTTATTTTTTTACTTTGGTATGGGTTGATGGGTTGCCCG